GTCACACATTGACTTAAAATATCAATGCCTGAATATTTGGCCAATCCAGCACTCTTAAGAGAAAGAAGCTCACAAAGTAGTCCCTTGCTTTTAAAAAAAAAAAGAAGAAGCAATAATTATACTAATAGATGAATAGATGTACAAACAATATGAAAAAAGCAAGGAATAAACCACCCCAAACCATTCATAATGTTTCAGCAACTGACTCCATCAACACTACAGTGGAGAAAATGTCAGAGAAAAAAACCTTTAAAGTTCATAGTTAAAATGTTTGATGAACTAAAAGAAGATATAAAGAGTGAAATTAGAGAGAAAATACAGGAAGTAAAAAGTCACTTCAGTAAAGAGATATTCTGAAAAAGAACCAAATAGAAATTCTAGAAATGAAAGTATCAATAAACCAAATTAAAAATTCAATGGAAAGCATTACCAATAGATTAGACCACTTTGAAGATACATTTTCAGACCATGAATACAAAGTATATAATCTTGAACATAAAGTTGACCATAAAGAAAAGATGTTAAAAGACCACAACCAGAATATTCAATAAATCAGAGATAACATAAAGAAACCAAATCTAAGAATCATGGGGGTAGATGAAGAATCTGAGATACAAACTGAATCTTTTCAATGAAATAATATTAGAAAATTTTTCCAACCTAAGGAATGAGTTGGAAATTCAAATACAAAGGTTATATAGAATTTCATATAGACAGTCAAAGCAGACCTACTCCAAGACACGTTATAATGAAAATGCCGAGTATAAAGTACAAGGATAGATATTTAAAAGCTGCAACAGAAAAACAACTGGTCATATTTAGAGGTAAACCATTTCAGATTTCAACTAATTTCTCAACCCAGACTCTAAGAGCTAAGAGAGTTTTGAGTAATATATACAAAACTCTGAAAGAAAATGGATGCCAACCAAGATTACTATACCCAGCAAAATTATGTTTCAAATTAAATATAAAATAAAAACCTTCCATGATAAACAGAAGCTAAAAAAATTCATAACCAGAAAAACATGAACTATAAAACATATTCAATGAAATATTTCATGAAGAACAAAAAATAAAGATGAAAATGAGGATAGGAATGAATTAAACTAAAAAAATAGACAATTAAAGAAAATTAAGTCCAATTTATACATTAGAAGTATATCAAAATGGCACAAAATAAAAAGAATCTCTTTATAATAACATTGAATGAAAATGGTCTACATTCTTCAGTCAAAAAAGTAGGCTGGCAGATTGGATAAAAAACAAGACCACAAAATATGCTGTCTTCAAGAGACTCAAATCACAGACAAAGACATCCACCACTGAAAGTAATGAATAAGACATATCATGCAAATAGTATTCATAAACAAGTAGAGGTAGCAATGATCCTATCAGACAAAGTGGATTTCAAGCCAAAATTAATCAGAAGAGACAAAAATGTCACCTCATACTGCTTAAGGGAATCATACAACTAGATATAAAATGATTGTACATAATTATGCCCCAAACAATGATGCATCAACATTACATAAAACAAACCTTGATCAATATTAAGAATTATAGACCACAATAGAATAATATTGGGTATCTTTAACACACCTCTCACTAATAAATAAATCATCCAGACATAAACTAAGTAAAGATTTTACAGAACTAAAAAATACAATTAATAATACAGAGCTTACAGATATGTATAGAATATTTTATCCACCAACGATGGACTTCACTTTCCTCCCAGCAGCACATGGAACATTTTCTAAAATAGACCATATTTTAAGCCAAAAAGCACATCTTAGCAAATACAAAATGAAAGAGAAATAATACTTTGCATTCTGTCAGATCATAATAGAATGAAATTAGAAATCAATGGTAAGATAAAAAACAGAAACCACTCTTAACACCTGGAGATTAAATAATACAGTTTTGAATGATGTATGGGTAACAGGAGAAATCAAGGAAGAAATAAAAAAACTTCTCAGAAACAAATGAGAATAGAAATACAATGTATCAAAATCTCTGCAACAGTATGTAGGAAGTTCTATAGGGACATTTATAGCACTTCCTAAAGAAATAGAAAGATGGTAAATAAATCATCTAACATTACAAGCCAAGGACCAATGGGAAAAAAAAGAACAAAACAGCATCAAACCAGTAAAAGACATGAAATAATTACAATTAGGGTCAATATCAAAGAGTTGTTTTGTTTTTTGTTTTTTTTTTTTTTTTTTTGAAAGGATAACAAGATTGATAACCTTTAGCCAAACTAACCAAAAGAAAGAGAACACTCAAATTAACAAAATTAGATATTAAAAAGGAAATATTGGGCAGGGGATGTGGCTCATGTGGTAACGCGCTTGCCTGGCATGCACGGAGCACTGGGCTCCATCCTCAGCACCACATAAAAATAAAATGAAGATGTTGTGTCCACCAAAAACTGAAAAATAAATATTAAAAAAAGGAAATATTACCTCAGATACTACTACTGAAATTCAGAGGATCATCAGAAACTATTTTGAAAACTTAGATCTAATATGCTAGAAAATCTTGATGATATTAACAAATTCCTAGAGACTTATGACCTACCCAAATTGAACCATAAGGATATAGAAAACTTAAACAGATCAAAATCAAGTAATAAAATTGAAGCAGCTCTCAAAAGCTAAAGAAAAGCCCATGACAAGATGTTTTCTCAGCTGAGTTGTACCAGACCTTTAAAGAAGAACTAGTGTCAATCGGAGAGAAATAAAAAAATAATTCCTCAAATTATTCCATGAAATAGAAATGGAGGGAATGCTGACAAATTCATTCTCTGAAGCCTGTATCACCTTCATATCAAAACTAGACAAAGACACATCAAGGAAAGAAAATTTCAGGCCCATATCCTTGATGAACATAGATGCAAAAATTCTCAATAAAATGTTGGCAAAGTGCATATAAAAACACATTAAAAAGATAGTGCACCATGATCAAGTAGGTTTCATCCAAGAGATACAAGGTTGGTTCAACATACATAAATCAATAAAATGTAATTTACCACACACATAGAGTTAAGGACAAGAATCACACAATTATCTCAGTAGATGCAGAAAAGCATTTGACAAAGCACAACACTCATTCATGTTTAAAACACTAGAAAAACTAGGGATAGAAGGAACTTAGCTCAACCTTGTAAAGGCTATATATGACAAACCCAAGCCAAACATCATCTTAATGGAGAAAATTAAAAGCATTTCCTCTAAAGATAAGAACAAGACAACAATGCCCACATTCACTACTCCTATAGTCTTTAAAACTCTAGCCAGAGCAATCAGGCAAGAGAACAAAATTAAAGGGATATGAATAGGAAAAGAAAAGCTCAAATTATCTCTGTCCACTGACAACATGTTCCTATATTTAGAAGACCCAAAAAACTCTGCCAGAAGACTTCTATAGCTCATAAATGAATTCAGCAGAGTAGCAGCACACAAGATCAACATACAATACGTGATCATGTTCCTGTACTCCAATAACGAATCTGGTTAAAAAGAAATTTGACAAAAACCTCAAAAAAAAAAAAACCCTTGGGAATCAATCTAACAAAAGAGGTGAAGGACCTCCACAATGAAAACTATAGAACAATAAAGAAATAAATTTAAGAAGACCTTAGAAGATGGAAAGACCTTCCAAGTTCTTGGATAGGCAGAATTAATATTATCAAAATGACCATACTACCAAAAGCACTATACAGATTCAATGCAATCCCCATTAAAATACCAGTGACATTTTTCACAGAACTAGAAAACACAGTTCTGAAATTCATTTGGAAAAATAAGAGGCTCAGAATAGCCAAAACAATCCTTGGTGAGAAAAGTAAAGCAGGAAGCATCTTAATACCAGACCTCAAATTATAATACAGAGCTAGAGTAACAAAAACAGCATGGTATTGGCACCAAAACAGGCATGAAAACAAATGGAATAAAATAGAAGGCACGGAGACAAACCCACATAAATACAGTTATCTCATAGAAGGCAAGGTACCAAAAACATCCATTGGAGAAAAGATAGCATCTTCAACAAAAGGTGCTGGGAAAACTGGAAATCCATATGTGGTAATGAAATTTAACCCCTATCTCTTACCCTGCACCAAACCCAGCTCAAAGTGGATCACAGAGCTAGGAATCAGACCAGAGACCCTGTGCCTAATAGAGGAAAAAGCAGACCCAAATCTTCATCACACCAGATTAGGCCCTGACTTCCTTAACAAGATTCCTAAAGCTCAAGAAATAAAATCAAGAATTAATAAAATGTGATGGATTCAAACTGAAAGCTTCTACTCAGCAAAAGAAACAATCAATAAGTTGAATAGAGAGCCTACATTTTGGGCGCAAATTTTTGCCACATCCACATCAGATAGAGCACTAATCTCCAGGATATATAAAGAAAAAAATTAACACTAAAAAACAACCCAATCAATAAATGGATTAAGGAGGGGAACAGACACTTCTCAGAAGAAAATATACAACTGATCAACAAATATATGAAAAAATGTTCAACATCTCTAGTAATTAGATAATTGCAAATTAAAACTACCCTAAGATGTTATCTCGCTGGGGTCAGAATGGCAGTTACAGGAATACATACAACAATAAGTGCTGGCAAGGATGTGAGGGGAAAGGCACACTCAAATATTGCTGCTAGGACTACAAATTGGTGCAACCACTATGGAAAGCAGTATGGAGATTCCTTAGAAAAGTTGGAATGGAACCACCATTTGACCCAGCTAGCCCACTCCTCAGTTTATACCCAAAGGACTTAAAATCACCATACTATAGTGATGCAGCCACATCAATGTTCATATCAGCTCAATTCACAATAGCTAAACTGTGGAAGCAACCTGGATGCCCTTCAACTGACAAATAAAGAATATATTATATATATATATATATATATATATATATATATATATATATATATATATATATAGAGAGAGAGAGAGAGAGAGAGAGAGAGAGAGAGCGCCTGGAGGCCCACCGCTGTCTGTCGGGCCTATTGTGGACGTCCTGCAGTATAGCCAGAGGGACCTGGATGCAGCGGTAAGAGCAACACAGGAAGAAAACCTGGAGTTGAAGAGCAGGTGTGAGGAACTCCGCGTGAAGAACCTGGAGATGGAGAAGGTCATGGACGGGTTTGAAGGGCTTGTGTGCCAGGCAATGGAGGAGACTCAGAAACAGAAGGAGCTTGCCAAAGCCGAAATCCAGAAGCTTCTGAAAGAAAGAGACCAACTCACTGTGGATCTGAACTCCATGGAAAAGTCTTTCTCTGACCTCTTCAAGCGGTCCAAGAAACAGAAGGAGGTGCTTGAAGGTTACCGCAAGAATGAAGAGTCACTGAAGCAGCGCGTAGAGGATTACAGAGTGAGGATGGAGAAAGAGGGCCAGAGGTACCAGGCACTGAAGGCCCACACAGAGGAGAAGCTCAGGCTGGCAAACGAGGAGATCACCCAGGTCCGGAGCAAGGCCCAGGCGGAGGCCTTGGCCTACCAGGCGAGCCTGAGGAAGGCACAGATGCAGATCCACTCTCTGGAGAAGACTGTGGAGCAGAGGACTAAAGAAAAGGATGAGCTGACCAGGATCTGTGATGACCTCATCTCTAAGATGGAGAAGATCTGATGAGGGCCATGGCCACACCTGCCTTCTCCTATCTGTCTGTCCGTCTGATTTGTCTTAGTTTTGTGTTCTTCTCTCTTAACCTCAACTTGGTTTCAAAATAGGTTGCTTTTAAAAGAAGACTAAATAAAGTTTTCCTTGAACTCAAAAAAAAATGGTGCTGGGAAATATATGGTGCTGGGAAAACTGGAAATCCATATCTAACAAAAGAGGTGAAGGACCTCCACAATGAAAACTATAGAACAATAAAGAAATAAATTTAAGAAGACCTTAGAAGATGGAAAGACCTTCCAAGTTCTTGGATAGGCAGAATTAATATTATCAAAATGGCCAGACTACCCAAAGCACCATACAGATTCAATGCAATCCCATTAAAATACCAATGACATTTTTCACAGAACTAGAAAAGACATAGATAGATAGATAGATAGATAGATAGATAGATAGATAGATAGATAGATAGATATAGATAGATCGATCCCCAATGGAATATTATTCAGCCATAAAAGAGAATGAAATTATGGCATTTGCCAGTAAATGGATGGAATTGGAGGCTATCATGATAAGTGAAATAAACCAGTTCCAAAAAGTCAAAAGTCAATTGTTTTCTTTGATATGTGGAAGCTAATCCAAAATAAGGGGGAGAGGGAGAATTTCATCAAAACAGAGGAAAGATCAGTGGAGTAGACCAGAGGATTGAGAGGGAGGAAAGAGAGACAGGATAAGAGAAGAATAGTGGCATGAATCTGACCAAATATTCATATGTACATACGTGAATAACCCCAGTGAATCTCAACATCAAGTATGTCCAGAAGACACTAATTAAAAATAAAATCTGTAAGTAAATTGTAGAAAGAACAGCAGTAGAGGGAGGGAGTGGGAGTGGGGAGAAGAAGTTCTGGGACTGAATTAGAACAAATTCCATTCCATGCTTTTGTGATTATGTCAAAATGTATCCTAATATTATATATAACTAAAAAGAACCAATAAAAATAATAATCTGGGCTGGGGTTGTGGCTCAGTGGTAGAGAGCTTGCCTAGCACATGGGAGCCACAGGATTAGATTCTCAGCACCACATATAAATAAATGAATAAAATAAAGGTCCATCAACATCTAAAATAAAAATAAAAATTAAAAAAAAAACAATTCATTGTGTACTTGTAGTGAGAGCTATAATCTCTTAGAGTTTTGTGGAGGGTCTGAGTTTTATGTAAATCAACATCTTTCAGATGCTTAAGCTGCTTGCTGATTTTGAGTTTAAACCATACATGCACTGTGACTTTCCACCCTGGTGCACAGAGTGACAGGTGCGTGGAGTATGTCCAGTTGACCTGTCATGGTAACTTGCACAGTTGCTCAATTCTTCCCAACTTGCAGGTTCACGGAGTCTCCACTTGACTAGTACTAAGGTAGCCAAATCAGGTTGTTCAATATTGACTTCACTCTTTGGAATCTAGTTCCTCCACAGCCAAGACACATGTTTGATTACTTTAATCCTCACAGATCAGATCTCCCTCTCCATAGTCAGTACACATGCTCAGAGACCAACATTCCATCTAATACTGGTGCCTCAGTGTCATAGATCCTCAGTTCCTGGGTTCAGATAGCTGCAAAGGATGCCTCCATCCTCAATGCGATTCAGCAAGGACCTAGCAGAATGCAGCCTCCGCACCAAAATGCTAAGTTTTGCCAGAGCATATGGGATTATAAAAGCAAATGTGTATTATGCATAATATTATGTCACATTACAGGGCACATTTTTTTTAAAAGGCAACACCCACAGGTCTGAACAACTTCAATTTTATGCAAATTTCACAAGCACTAAAGCGTGCTTACTTGTCACTTTTTCATGGAGTCAGCAGAGCGCCCCAGGGAGGAATGGGGTCTCACTTTGCAGAGCCATTCATTGTTCGCGTATACCTTTGCAAACTCTCGCCCCTTGCTAAAGGTTTTCTGGCTCTACCGAAGAGTTCTTGGTTCACATTCTTCTTTTGTGACTGGCAGAAAGGAGCTTGTGTGAGCACAATGAGGCGACTCAATCCTCCTTGGGAATTCAATATGCTGTACCATCAATGCCCAACCCCGCACGCTTTTTATAATCATAGCCATCATCTTTTTATTATGTCTTGGACTTGAGGAGGCCTGAAAGCAGATGTAACTCATGATGACCTGACTTCAATGGGAGAATGAACCAGGTGGCTAATTGTCTCTAAAACAAATACACTGATAATTAGCAGGAGAGCACAATGCAACAGAAGCCTAACCACCAACCTTTATTTAAGTTAAGCAAATGGGTGAGCAAATGATGCAGCTGCACCGCACTTTGACAAGTTAATAAGGGAGCCATACTTCATCTCGTCAGCCACACTAGCCAAAGCATGCCCTCAGGACTCAGTATCAATGATGCTAAAACTGTGGACTTGGGAAATTGTCAATGTTCACCGTGAAAACCCCTCCTCTGAGTACTTTGTGGTTTGAGGTGCTAGATTTTCTCAGTCATGAAATGCTAGGGTCAAGGTCAAGACAGTAGCAGGTTGGCAAGATCTCACCCATACACTATGGAAGTGCTCCTGATTGCAAGTCTCTAAAAATGGTAATGTGGAGACAGCATCATGGCAAATTTCATTTTTCTAGAGTTTAGAATTATTCCACTTGGACTGCCTAATGTCTAGCTCAGAATTCAGCAAACCCTTTTCTGGAAAAAGCCAAATAGTAAATATTTCAGGTTTTGCGAGCCTCATAGTCTCTGTTGCAAGTACTGAAGTGTCATCTAATGCAAAAGCAGTCATAGACAAGATGGGAATAATTGATTGCATTCCAATAAGGCTTTAAGGACACTAAAATTAAATTTCATATAATTTTCACATATAAAAATATTATTCTTCTTTTGCTTTCTTTTCTAAAAAAAATTTATTATTTTTTTAGTTTTGGGTGGACACCTATCTTTTATTTTTATGTGGTGCTGAGGATCAAACCCAGTGCCTCACGCATGCCAGGCGAGCGCACTACCGCTTGAGCCATATCCCCAGCCCCTGCTTTCTTTTCAATGTTTTCTTACAAATGTAGGAAAGATTCTTGATTTGCAGGCCATACAAAAACAGGCTGGGTTTAACCCATAGGCTGTAGTTTACTACTCACGGCCTAGATTAATTATTTGAGCTTGAATTTAGAATTCAAAGATAATGTGGGGTTATTCTCTCTGGTTTCCTGCTTATTTGTTTCTCTATTTTACAAGGGAATTTGGTTAATTCAGGAGCTAGAATCAAAGCCACAAGAAAGAGGTATTCAAATAAATTGATTCAATTCATACCATATTGAAATCTGCTCTCTAAATCACAGGTGATTTGTCAATAGGTGTTAAAATGCACATATTCTTTGGCCCAAATACTTCACTTCCAGGAATTTATCCTAAAGAAATTATTAGGATTGTATTCAAAAACTGAACAACAATATCCGGTGGTTTATTTATTACAGCATTATTTACAATAGCAAAAAAATAAATGAATATGTCCAGCAATAGAAATGTCAAATTGTGACATTGTCAATTTAATTAATGTCATTGTCATTAATTAAACAATTTGTGGTCATATTCTATAAAACAGATTATTATGTAGCCATTAAAAGTATGATGCATAAGACTATGTATTGTCATGGAAGGATGTTTAGGGGCTCAGGAAACAGTTAAATAACAAAAGAGTAAAGACAAAGTGATTCATTTTTTTGTTTGTTTGTTTATAGAGTTGCAGAAAATATTTAGGAGGAAAACTAAGGTGTTATTGTTCATCTCTGCAAGGTAAGTTTGTGACCAGTTCTTAATTTCTTCTTTTGTGTTATATTTTCTAATTGTTTTCATTCATTCGTTCACTCAACACATATTAATTAAGCAATTAGTATGTTCTAGGGCCCAGGTTTTTTTTTTTTTAACATTGGAAATGGCATCCTTGGCCACTTTTAAAAATGTAAACATTTAAAAGCAGTCTTCAGAAGTTAGTGTAAGAATGTACAAGCAGTTGGGGGTGAGTTTCGTGGAAGCCCGAATCATAGAAGAGACACTGCAGAAGTTGAAGACCAGAGAGAATAAGGGCAGAGGCAGCTGGGAACCAGTTCTGAGATCTCTAAAGCTATTGGGTAGTAATTACCAGCAATGCAGCATCTGCCACTCTATCATACTCTGCCACTGTCTACCATTTTTCAAAACCAACTTTCACAACTATCTCCCACCCTATCAAGCAGCCAATGGACAAGTGCTAAAACAAGGATAAGATTTAGCTTAATAACCCAGGCCTATAATGCCATCTTCTAGAAAAAAAGAAAGACAAATTAGATTTGGGGGGGGCCTCCTTATTCAATTCAGGGGTTTTTAAAAAATTAGTGACTTAACATGTATCCTCATCCTTAACTAGTATCCTCATTATAGTAGAGTCTAGACTGCACTGAATGGTTTGGCCTAATTTCGACATATTTTTCAAGCAGAGTATATTTAAAAAACACTATGCACCTTAAAATACCAGAAGGGTGTTTTTAGAGAAATAGAAAAGCAAACATTTCCATGCTTTTTCCTATTGACCTGATTGTTCTTGCTGGTTTTACTGAAATATTTAATCTTCTCGAGTGCTGAGTCTCAGTACTGTTCCTCTGACATTCACGCACATCAAGCACGTTTCTTCGGCACTTGAGGTGATACCTGGTATGTGGTTCAGAAAAACCACAGGGATAAGAAGAATTTACAGGAATTATTTGGAGATAGAGACTTATAATCCCAAGACTACTGTGTGTTCTGCGTTATTTCAGCTATGAGATTTCTTATGATTAAAACACTTGGATAATTAGAATAGAATTTATTATGGTGACAATTATACCCAAATATTCAAAGACATTGCTTTTGGGGAGCACTGGAGTGAATTCAGACAGTTTAATGTGGCTTCAGACATACAGGTGCTTTATTGAAAGCCATTTGACACCAGGAGTCTTGATGGTCTTTCTACAAAGAGGAATTAGAAGCTCCAGAGAACTTGAAATCTTCTTACGTAGAATTGATATGGTATCCCACTTTGTTTCCTTTGCTGTATCCCCCAA